AATGTGCCGCTCAGTGTGCATTCTGCAGAATATTGCAAAATGCAGATACGTTTATTTTATTGCATGTCTCCTCTGCAGTAAAGAGCATGCCTATTCACATTTTTTTTTTTATTCTACTTTAAGTTCCTCCCTAGTCACACGTATTTTTTACTGAACCTTTATAAGAAGTTCTTGAGTGCAGAGAGCAAATAAGATTTCCATTTCATTCATTCCTCAAAAGCTAGAGGTTTTACTTCCTGGACAATGATTCAATATCACAAGACACGCAGTTCAGGAGCCAGACCTGTATGACAGCCTTTAAACAAAGAAAATCCTGACCCTATACTATGTAGTTTTCCTATATAAAAAGAAAGAGAATGAGCGGTTTCATTTTACAATATATCATAGAAAAAGAAATATATGTGCAGCACAGTACTGATTTCAAGTTTTAAACAGATGGTTTATTGCAAATTTGCTAATTTATTGCAAAGTCTCCTACAAATATAGCAATAACAGCTACAAAATCATATTGCTGCACAGGGACTCTATAATAAAGACACCATTATATTTCTATTGGATTTAAATTGATATTGAGTAGCCACTGGTTAGCCTGGGTAAGTGATTCAACACTGAAAAAAGGACATTTAATGAAATTGCAGAATAAATTACAGTTTGTGAGTAACCTATAGCATAGCTACAAGTGGAAAGACAGAAATTAGCAACAAAGGGCAGATTGGAATTGCCAAAAGGACCTGTAGCAAGATGTTTCAAATCCCATTTGTTTCACAGTAACATGCTCCGACTTAAAGTGACACTAAACTCTGGTTTAGAAAGAAAAATAAAATCAAGTATACAGTATATGTTTAACTCAAAAAGCACATTCTATTGCTCTCAGCCGCCTCCAAATTTCCCTTATTCTGCTTCTGCGATCTGACTTCCTGTTAGAGGGTGGCTATGTTTGTTATTTATGGTCCCACTGTATGTAGGAACATAGCCACACTTCTACCTGCTTCTGAGATGGACTATTGACCATGGACTATGGAAGCTGTAGTTTGCATAGAGCAGTGCACATGACCAAACAAACGTACTTCTCATTCAAAGGAAGTGGGAGGGAAAAGTAGAAGTTTGGGAGCTCACAAAAAAGACATTACAAAGAGTCAAACAAACACAGTAAGAAATTAATTCTTTAAAAATATATTACAGGATCAATAAGTAATGAATATGTATGGATTATTTTTGGAAAAAGAATATTGTTTAGTGTTGTTTTGTTAATAAAAAAAAAAACCCTGGAATTTTGTGAGAGATAACTATACTTTGGGAGTAGAATTTTAAAAAATTACAACTACAATCATATAGAAAGAGATTGTCCAGTCATAACAGATTTGCTAGAAAAATATTATAAATGCACCACCTTTTCTACCATGGTCATTAACATTTTTGGGACTTAAACAATTGGACTCCTGCTCTTATTTTTCATACACACGGCATTGAAGAACGATCAAGAGTGCCAGTTTTACACATCCACACTGGGGGAAGGTGATTGATAAAAACAGCTAACATTCTATTAGTTGTATGTGATTTTGTTTAATAAGGTATACTTGTGGCCTGTGTTACATAGGAGAAACTATTTAAAAGCTGAAAGACATGTTGGACCAACATACATTTTCTGTTTGAAGAAAACAATTATGATTGCCATTGGTTCCAAATTTTATTCAAAACTGTCACACAAATTTATTGATTTTTGATTTATAGTATCTACTCACATCAAAATATAATTTTTTTTTTATTTGATACAAAAAAGATTTAACAGCATATATACGATACAATACAAAATTATTTTCACAGACTATTTGAATTTACAATGCTAACTCTCTATATGTAGCTCTTCCATCTGTCACTGATCAAATATCCCCATGCATAACAACGATAATAAAGCCTTTTGATACACTTATTACATCAAAATCAGATATGTATCGATGTACTAATTACCCAGCAGCACAGGGGTAGTTTCAATGCATTTCACAAATATGAAAATTCATCAATTCCAAAGGATGTTGATCAGAAAGTTCAGTAAACTAACTCCCTAAAATCCCTGAGAGTATTCAGTTAGAGGATACTCCAAAGTAATAAGGCTCAAACAGATGTCTAACGTGTATTTGTCCAGAGCAGGAATGATGGTATTATGAGGTGAACCCAGAATGGTCACCCACTGCAGAGCACAGCCAAGTTAAACTGGGAGTTTAATAAACGGGTTATGGAGAACCACGTTCTCAGCCCCACCTCTTGGAGGTAATGGAGTGAATCTCTACTCTCTGGTTTCATTGTAGTGTAGTGGATAGTCTGTGGATGACTCAGAATTATTTCTCTGACTATATGTGTGATTGGGTAGGGACACATACTATGTAAGTTGGCCATCTATTTAGGTCTTATCACATTGTGGTGTCCTCTGACAGAATGACTCTAGGATTTGTTGGGACTTACATCTACTGCACTTTCTGACTGGTACCCTATGAGATTCTCTAGTGTTTGAGGAACATTCCTTTGACTTGCCTCCAATGCATTCCTGCAAAATGAATCAAAGCACTTCAATGCAACTGGATATTTATTACACAGATATGCATCTAATTTTGATGTGATAAGGCTGTACAAGGCATTATCATTGTTATGCATGAGGATAATTAATCTGTGACAGATAAAGGGCTGCATATTGAAACTTAGCATTATGTATTCAAATGATCTGTGAAAATAATTAGTTTTATATTGTACCATACATATGTTTTTAAATCTCTTCAGTATTAAATAAAAAAATGCATTTTATAATTATGTTATTATATATTGTAATATATACTGTGAGTGGGTACCTGAAAAGTCTGAATCTTGTTCTGTAAAGGCTTTTTCACATTTCCATTTTATATTATAAATACAATTTAATTCATAATAATTGATCATATATGAAGCTTATGCAGAGGTACAGAGAATTAAGAGTATAAAAGAAGAAATTGGATTATGAAATCTTATAATTCTTGTAATCAAATACTATAAAATCTAAGGGGTTAAAGTATTTAAACCCAAGAACATGCATTTAGTAGATTACAGATATTCAGTCCTTAAATATGGTATTTCTTTTTTTCAGACTGGATAGAAAAAGTAAAGAAAACTACCTGTTGATTCTGCAAAAAATCCACTGCCTTTGTAACTTGTTCTGTATTGTTCTGATGTTCTTTACTCCAAATCAGTATTGGGCAGCCTAGGGTAACAACTCTGCTCCTTCATAAATACAATTTAGTGAGTGATTGCTGTCACCATAGTAAGGGAATTGTGTTATTGGCAGGATCACTAGATGAAAATAAAAGTTTAAAAAGGCCCGAAACAAGAAAACTAATGTAAGCACATTTAAGGACTGTAAAATGGTTGTATATCATATATATATATATATATATTTTTTCGGGGGGGGGGGGGGGGGGTTCTACTGTTTAAATGATGCCTTTTATATTGATTTGTTTCTGAAACAATACAGGTAAAAGCATTTTACTATATTATACATATAGTGATCCTGTGACAGCAATACAAAGCTGACAAGGAAGCTAGATTTTCCCTACACTAAAAAAAACTCCATGATAATTTTTGTGTCCCTGTCTCATCTTCTCCCACTTCCCCTTTGGTAAAACTGTTATCACAGCAAGTGAAGGGAAAGCTCCGTAGTGGACCCCCAGATATTATTAAAAAATGGGCAAAAGTTCTAAAGTTTCTATATCCAGAAATAAAGAGAAGGTTCTATTTAGACATAGTATTGTTATAGTGATCTGGTACACATGGTGATGTACCAGCATCCACAATATTCAAATACACATCAAAACAAACTACCCATGGGATTCTTAAAGGTACACCACCATTTATGTAATAACCACATTTGATTAAAATGAATATGCATTTTATTAGTAAGCACTTAAAAGTACATCACTAGAAGACTAAAAGCCATACAGCTGAATTAGTACAGTTTGTGAAGTTTAACATATTAACAGCATGCACATTGCAAAATGTTTGTACAAATCAAAAATTGTTTCCGCCAACTTTGTCTGAAAGATGTTCTCATACAATTCCAATAGATGGAGAAGCACATCCAGGGGCGGACTGACAACTAATGGGGCCCCCGGGCAATAGGGGATCATGGGGCCCCTGTGTCCTTGCCCAAACTCAAAAAAGCCTATGAAAAAGGTACCAGGGGCATCTCATGGGGCCCCCTACTGACTCCGGGCCCTCGGACAGTGCCCGAGTTTCCAAATGGTCAATCCGCCCCTGAGCACATCACATTTCTCAAAGCATTTCAGGAACTTTAATTCACTTCATCAGGAATAGATTCTATATACTAAATAAGCTGTATGTCTTTTAATGTTTTAATGTATTTTAAATGCTTTTTTGTACTGACAAAATGCCAATTGATTTCAAAGAAATTTGGTTATTACATAAATGGTGATGTTCCTTTAACCACTTGCCTACCGGCACTTATACCCCCTTCTTTACCAGGCCAATTTTCAGCTTTCAGCGCTGTCGCACTTTGATTGACAATTGTGCGGTCATGCAAGATTGTACCCATATGAAATTTTTATCATTTTTTTCTCACAAATAGAGCTTTCTTTTTGTAGTACTTAATCGTCGCTGGGCACTTTACTTTTTGCGCTATAAACAAAAAAAGTGCAAAAAATTTGAAAAAAAATAAGTTTCTTTGTTTCTATTATAAAATTTTTCAAACAAGTAATTTTTCTCCTTCACTGATGTGCGTTAATGAGGCAGCACTGATGAGCACTGATAGGTAGCACTAATGAGGTGGCACTGATAGGCGGCATTAATGAGGTGTCACGGATAGGTGGCACACTGATAGGTGGCACTGACTGGCATCACTGCTGGGCACTGACTGGCGGCACTGCTAGGCATTGACTGGCGCAACTGCTGGGCACTGACCGGCACAGCCACTGGGTACTGACTGGTGGCACTGACTGGCAGCACTGCTGGCCTGCACTGATGGGCACTGGTGGGTGGCACTGGTGGGCACAGGTGGGTGGCACTGGTGGGCACAGGTGAGCGGCACCGCTGGGCACAGGTAGGTGGCACTTCTGGGCACAGGTGTGTGGCACTGCTGGGTGGCACAGGTGGGTACACTACTGGACACAGGAGGGTGCACTAATGGGCACAGGTGGGCGCACTGCTGGGCACAGGTGGGTGCACTGCTGGGCACAGGTGGGCGGAACTGGTGGGTGGCACTGCTGGGCACCAATCATCAGGGCACCGATCATCAGTGCCCTGATGATCAGTGCAGATCCCTGCTCTGACAACTGCCGGTTCTCGGCAGTACTTTCCTCACGCTCTGACAATGTGAGGAAAGTGCAGCCGAGAACCGGCAATTGTATTTCCCTGTGATCAGCGCGTCATTGGACACGGCTGATCACGTGGTAAAAGGCAGCTGTGATTGGCCTTTTACCACATCACGTGATCAGCTGTGTCCGCAGGACACAGAGATCACGGAGATCGCCAGGTGCGCGCTCCTGGGGGTGCGCAGGAGAGCGTGTTCTGGGAAGACGTCATATGATGCCCTCCCAGAACTGGCCGGCCACAATGTAGCCGTCATTCGGCTATCTGCGGTTGGCAAGTAGTTAAGAGTCCAATGGGCAGTGTTGTTTTAATGTGTATTTGGTTGAGCACAAACATTCTTTAGCTAACATTCTTTTTATTTTGTGTAACACTGAGCCCAGTTTACAGTAAATTACTGCTGTCCTGTCCCAGAAGTTCTTTCCATGACCTGGATAATTAACTAATTTCAGGTACAGAAGGTGAATAGTGACATCCAGTGGATAACATTTTATAACATTATCTAGCAACAATACCTAAACTGGCTAGTGCAAGGTGCTTGGCAGTTGGCTTAATCCTTAGTAAGACTAGGTTCAAATCTGCGCGGGTGGTTCCTGCTGTGGGTCCGCTCCTGCTCCTGCTCCCGCAGTGGCAATCATCTGCACAGGGAATGTCACACCTGCATGCCACATGCACTAGAAATCGCTTCTGCAGTAAGAACCACACTGCACTTGTGGTTCCTGTGTGGGCTGTGATTTCTAAAATGCTGCAGAGACCTTTTCTCTGCATTTCAGGAGGCATGGCAACCCATTCAAATGAATGGGTTGTTCAGCCAGTGAAAAATGCAGCTAACAGAGCCGCATATGTGTGAACTTAACCTTACTATAATAAGTAATGCTGAGCTTTAGTTGAGGGGGTTTTATTCCTAAATAAAAGACACTAGTACTTGTTCACATGGGCAGTACAGAAAGCAGGCAGTCATGTTGCAGTTTTAAATACAGCAATACCACCATACAAAGCTGTACCCATACTGTTGGCTGTGATGCTTTTGGGCACGGCAACAATTAAACAGCCTGTTGTATTAGGCAGGTGGTGGGAAACAGAGGGGCGCCAGACTAAGCGCAGCATTGAAGAAGAAAAAGAAGAAGCGGAAGCTTCAAAACGCGTTACCGCCCATTTACATCATCACATTCCTTTGCTGACGTGATGTACAGTCTGGTGCCATCTTGCACTCCATGTTGGTCAATGTGGCGGATGGCTGCGTTGGGATGTTTTTCAGCTCCACAGTCCAGCCACGCATAGATTGCCTGGAAGTGACAACTTACAGGGGATACATCCGGACACATTACCGACATGCCTGTCTTTGTCGACCTTTCAGTGAGTTACCAATTGTATGTTTTTATTAAACTCCACTATTAATGTTGCACTTAGTCTAGCACCCCTCGGTTTCCCTCTACTTACAGAGTCTCAGCTTTGCTCTAAAGGGTGCTGCTACTGATGCCGGTTATTAATCTCTCTTGGACTTTTATATGGTCTCTTATATGGACTAATACATGGACTTCTCCAGCACCATTCATTATATTCTTTTTTGGCAGGTGGTGCTGCTGCTGAACAAAGCCCAATCAAATGAATGAAGCCACACCACAACCCTCTTCCACCCATTGATAAAATGCAACTGCTGAAGTGCAGTGTGAAGGCAGTGATGCCAATGCACTGTAAACAGCTCATTGCACTGATTGTTTGCTGGCTGCAGTGTGGTGTAATGAGGTAGAATGTGTTTCACCAGGCTACCACATGCTGTACTTTTTTCAGCAAATGCCACTGCAGTGGTTTGAACTGGCATAGGAAACATGATTTTTTTGCCTTGTCTACATTGAGACTGCGCCGAACAAGCCATTTTCTGTTTCAAAAAATATTATAAAGGAACAAAACCCAATATCTATTTATATGCAAAATACAGAGACATGATCTACCTCATCTTTTATGGAAAGCCATTTCTTAGTGAATCAAGCTTTCAGACATTTTTTCTTTTATTAATACTGTCAATGCTAACTTAATCCATGATAATTTGAATGATACACAACAATATTCTATTCAGACCATCCTAGTGACCTTGGAAATATGGTAAATCAACTGATTCTGTCTAAAAAAAAACTGCTTATATCTCCATGGTATCTTTAGTCACTACAATAGCACTTGCTAGGTAGTTTGAAAGGATATGCATTTTAAAACATGTGTACTGATTTACCACATAATTGTAGCAATCATAAAAGGCAGAATCCAGCTAAAGTGGATCCCATCTCTATTAATGGTGGATGTTTAAGGCTCTAAAGCATTTGGTTTTTGTCAGTAAGCAACAGCCTTTATGTAGTTTATCATGCAGCCAGCAGGTGGAGCTCTGGGGTTCTTTCTTTATTCTCTCTCCATAATATGGTATACATAGATAAGGGTACTTTCACACTAAGGAGTTTTTGAAGCATTTTTATTTTTTAAAAAAGCACCTGAAAAGTTCAAGAAAAATGCTTCCCTATGTATGTGAATGTATATCTATGTATGTGTTCACACTGAGGAGTTGCGATTGCTGTGCGGCGTAAAAACTCCTGCTTGCAGCATTTTTGGGGCATATTTGTGAGTTAAAAAAAGCTCCAAAAACACCTCTTCCCATTGAAATCAATGGAAAATGCCTGAAAAATGCCTAAAAAATGCCTGAAAAGCGCTTCAAATACGCCTCCAAGAAGCATTTTTGGTGCAGTTTTTAAGTCATGTGTCCTTTAAAAAATGCTCAGAAAGCATGGCAAAAGCACAGTAAAAATTCCTATGTGGTTTTGCTGTGTTTTTGCAGCTTATCCGTGTGAAAAAAGCCTTAATGTGAAATTTGACACACACCTCAACAGTAATAAACTAATTCATATATCTTACTTCCCAACTTGAAGAACCACGGACTCTCTCTTGGGTGAATAACAAGGTTTTACACACCCATCTGTGATTAAGACAATGGGAAAATGAATTGGAGATGCTTGATTTTTTTGAACCTCCAGATGACATGGATTGGGAGTAAGTGCCACTTATATTCGATACTTCTGAGAGTTTTTGAGATTTACAGACAGAACTGGGCGAGCAACCACTCTTCCCTTATCAGACCTTTTAGTATGGGGTTATGGCAGGGGCGGACTGACAAATCATGGGGCCCCCGGGTAATAGGAAATCATGGGGCCCCTGTGTCCTCGCCCACACTCAAACCACACCCAAAAAAGCCTATGAAAGGTACCAGGGGCATATCATGGGGCCCACTACTGACCCCGGGCCCTCGGGCAGTGCCCAGATGTCTAAATGGTCAGTCCACCCCTGGGTTATGGTGAGAGACAGTTGGGAATAAAAGTGAGGTCGTCTTCTGGGTTGTCTCTTTAGCTAACCTAAAGTGCTCTGGGAGTTCCATGCTATGTAGAAAATGTTTACTTTTAAAACAAATAATGTGCTAAATAATGTGGTAATCTACTAAAACATTTATAATAATCTCAGTTTAAAAACATTTAAACTAAATTTAAAATAAAAAAACATTGGACGCAATAGCATTATGATTTCACTTTAAAGAAGGATTCCAGGTATGGATATTTACATGTCCAGATTGAACCATTGTAACTATGCATATATCATACCTGGCTGATGTCTCTGGAAGCTGGAAATCATGTGGCCCTCTGCCTTCGCTTCTGGATCTCATAACTGAGCAGCTTCAGCACAGTCACCATTCAGAGAATGCTTTACATTTTATGAATGAATGCAAATTGTTCTCTGATTGGAGGAGGTGGAGAGCAAGATGTCACGATCTCACCTCTCCACCTCAACCAGTTAGAGAATGCTTTGTATTTATGACAGCTGTGCAGAGTGGCTGACCTTCTGTGTTCAGAATGCATCTTTGACAGCTCAGTCACTGTGCTTGGAGCATGCATCCCCTTTCCGCTGCACATAGGCATTACGTGGGCAACAAGAGGTTAACATGTCAATGCCTGTATCAGATTTTATTGATTGAATTTAGATCTACTTAAAAGCCCAATTACAGAGTTATTTCAAAAACATTACATCAGCCATAGTTAAAATAAATAAAAAATGCAGCTGTCACTGCAATATCCACCATTAAGCAGAGAAAAATAACATCCAAAATGTTTCCATTATACGTTCCACTTCTTAAAATAGCTGCATGGGTTCAAGAACTAATGTTGAGTTGTAATTGTTTTGACTTGAAACTTACAAAATAACTGCAAAACATACATATTTAACTCATCAGAATGAAATCAAAATCATCACATACCTGTGGGTAAGTCTTCTGTGGCTGACACACACTGCAGTTTCCTGATTCTGGGCAATGCATACTTTATGCCGACTGCATTTCATTTTTAAACACGGATCTTTTGCTGGATCCAGAGCTGAAAAAACAAATATTTACTGAATACTATATTGTGGTCTTTTGATCCAGAGCCTTGCCAACATTAAAACAATTTTCCTACAATAATAAGGCATCTACAGTATTGTACATTATTTATATTTAACATTTAAAATTAATAAGAAATAACACATACATCCTGAATGTACTAAAGAAAGAAAACCATGGAATGATAAAATGACAAATTTTGTGCCTGTACATTATATCTCATATGTTTATTGTGTTTACTATATAGAAGAATGTACACAATGTTCTAGGCTCACATAGAAAAGCTTTGCAAAAAAGTAACCAGCATTGCAATGTTCATTTTCATTCTTTTGTTCTTTGTTATTTTCTAAACCTTTTGCCTAGTGAGTTTCAAACCTTGTAATTATTTGCAAATCATGCCACCAATACTGCTGACCTAATGTGCTCTGATACACTGATTGGTACAATATTTCTTGTATGCTTTACCATTTATATAGGGTATGGGCATGGGAATCTGGACATTCAAGGACATGGAATTGTGGTTATGTCATGATTAGTATCATCTAATGCATATATTAATGGCTTTTTCACCACACCTGCAGTGTTCTCTAGCAATCCCTAGATAGGGATTACTGCTTTAACTTTTAATTTCTTA